TGTGTTTTTTATTTGCATTCATTCGTTCATTCGTTCATTCGTTCATTCATTCTACCATCCCAGTTTATTTTTATTTCTTTGTTATTTGCTTTATTATAGCTGCTTTTATGCTCTAATTGCTTATTTATTTATTCCATCATCATATGAGGAAACTTCTCCTTTCGTATGGCTTCGAATGCAACTGAGTTTATTTTGTAAGGCAAACAGATTTTGTAATGATTTTCCTAGACAAAAGACACAAAAAAAAACAAAAATGGAGGAATGAAAAGTTTCCTTTTCCAGACGGTTGTGGCTTTAATGGAAAACTTGTTGGGAGCAGTTGATATGAGCGCATTTTCCATGTTTCCATGTTTTTGAAAATGCGTAAGCATGCTTAGGGACGCGAAATCGTAAAAGTTGGTAATTGAAAGTGTAATAAGCGTTGTTCTGAGTTGGTAATGTGGTGATTTGGTGATTGCTGCTTAGACACTTTTCGGATTTGGATTGGGTTGTTGTGGTTCTTAAAAGTTTGCTTGAGGAATTTCGTTCGGATAAATATGCGTACGTGCGTATATGCGCCAAAAGAAATGGTTTTCTGTTAAAAAAGTTCAAGTAAAACTTTGTTGAGGAAATTTTATTGTCGTTTTAAGCGACTAAGTGAAATTGTCGATTTGTCTTAATGTCGCTAAAAGAGCAGTTTGTACGTAATAATATTGCTTAACATATCAGGTTGATTTTCACAAATTGCTATATTAACCAAAGTGGTAAGGAATAAAATTAGTACGAGTATATATACTGGTACCTGATAACTGCAATCCTAACCTTTTGTTGTGCTTTCATTGAAAATTAATTTTTTTAAAATTATTATAAAATTAATTGAATAACTTTTATTGTCTTCTTTAATTTAGTAGATGAGATAATCGTTTAGTACATAACCTGAGTACCTAATTAAGTAAGTGTGTAAGAAAGAAAGCGACCTTACTGTGTTCCGTAAATATTGTTTATTATTGTAAAAAAGAAGAACAGCATTTCCTATATACTTCCTAAAATAGCAGAACTAAATTTTTAAGCTAACCTGCACAAAATTAAAGCTTAAGACTAAACCTATCAATCTGCTTTGTTTCTGTCTAGCAATTGCACGGCGCTGCCTTACCAATTATGGGGTCTTCTTTTTTGGAGATTTAAGCAATCTGCAAGACCTCCCTTTGAATAGCATTATAAGCTTCGCTTCAAGTTCTAAGTAGTTCGAACAACTCAGTTTTTAATTATACGGTAACACAATGCGATTATAGGCCTAAATGGATCCCTTGGGATCGTGGCTGCAACCTAATCTAACCAAAATCTATCAATATGTCTTGACTCCACCTCTTTAATCTTATTCGATTTGGAAAGATTCATCCATTTCTTGATAATCATTTCATACAATAGTAGGCACATATTATCTAATAATCGCATGACACTAGGATATAAAATGGGTGGATATTTTACAATGCATTTCACAAAATCTGCGGATGTCATCAGTCTTTGTAGTAACACCACTTGTGATAGTAGTTACTAATGACCCTAATTACCTGCTTAAAGTGTCTGATACCTCTGTTATTTTTTCATAATTTTACAAATAAGTTATATTCAGTACATCTGGCTGAGATCAAATCCGAATAGTCGCAAGGAATGTGTAAAGAGATCGCATCTGATTTCATTTAGAGTTATTTATCTATTTTCTAAGTCAGATCTATTTTATTAATATTATAATGGGGAATGATGACTTATCAGCTACCACTGTTCTGTTCTACTGACGAGAGACGTATATCGTAGTTATACGGATGAACCAGTTTTTAAGCCTGGCAGTGACTAGAAGTTTCGTACCAGTAACGACTTTTTTAGGTCCCACACTACTTTTCATAAGAAACCTTGTTATGGACTTATTCCGTAATAAAGCTTCAGCACACAAAATTAATTTAAATATATTTTCTGTCCTTACGAGATTAGATGCGCACTTATTGCCACTAGTTCTTTGAAGACCTGGTACCCACAAAGTTACTGCTTGTTTTCGTTTGAGAGTTGTTGCAACATATCATAGCAATCTACCAAAATTCTCGAAAAGAGTTAACTATCTGTGTAGCGCAGTTATATTAACTTTCTGATGTGCTATTAACATTGACTAGAGCGTAGACCCCGATTATGTGAACTTCACTTAATGTGAATATCAACTTTCAAGTTCTTAGTTTTGAAACCATCAGTTGACCACAACATTACTTTTGGTTCTTAACAATGACCTAATGCCAAAGCACTTCTGGCAGCTGAAGTGAAATTTGATGTTCATGCGATTTATTCTACCGCACATTTTTAGGACAGGAACTAAAGTACAAATAGAGTTCAAACTGTTAAGGCCTGCTTTTATTTGGATAACTGAGGTGTAAAATTCAATATGGATTCTCGTTATTGATGTTCAAGGATTTCTGCTTGAAGAACTGTACTCCTATCGTAATTATTATTATGATCCTTTAGCTTTCAACTCTGTCAGTCTGTTAAGGTCGTTCGGAATAACTATGAATGAATCTAATATTTATGTATATTTACAAGTACTATAAACATGAGGTTGATAAGCTAGCAGAATTAGACAAAGCGCATAAGTCAACCCTTAGGATCGGCACTGTAACCTAACTTAACTTAGGGTAAAAGCTAGAAAAGGGAGAAAACAAATTAATTATTCATATAAGGAAAATTTTGACAAAGGGCTTTAGTCGTGAAATAAAATATAGTTGCATATAACTAAAATAAATTTAAGAGTATACGAGTACTCTAATGAACCTTTATTGTATATCCTCAAGTGCAATCAGAAGGCTTAATGTCTATTTAAAGTAAAGTCGTTTTCTTTATTAGTTTTTAACTTTTATTTCGAAAGTTTATTTCGGCATCATTTTGTCTTCATCAGGAAGATTTTTTAGTAATAATTACTACATCTTATACTTATGGGTTTCTATTTGTTTTTTAATTCCCATTTTCATCATTCTTTTAATTTTCTTTACTTTACTTTTTATGAAAATCTATTTGTGTTGGAAAATTCTTGGATTCTAATTAGTTTCTGAAAGATATACTTTTATTATTTGGTCTAGGATTCTATATTATAAAAGCAAATTTAATTATGCCCTCAATTTATTTTCTTATTATATTTTTGATAGCTTGATTAGTCATTCTTAGTTAATTTTCTGAAGTCATGAGACAGCTAAACTACATTCATTGAAGCATTTAATCCTTTCTAAATAGTTAACGGATTAATATTGAAGCTTAACCTTACAAACTTTATAAGAAGATTTTTGCATAAAAGCAAAACTAAGTATCCTTTCAGTTAATTGATATTATTTGAATATGTTAGGTGTAACTTAAAAATAATACTATAAGCACTGCCCTTTAATGTAGTGAAGTTTGATGCACATAAGTTTCAATTTAAAGATTTA